TAAAGGGACAAAAATTTTGCCAATAAAAGCCACAAATAACATTGGACAGAGTTACAATTTAGGATACAGCTTTCTTTTTTCCTCTTTTAATAGCCTATTGCAAAAAAACTTGAAAAATTATTTTTCCAACAGAAATAAAATAGATAAAAATTTTTTAACATTTTTTCCATGTTTCTGTTATCTTACTTTATATGGCATTTTTCTCTGGGGCGCGAGTTTTGGCGCAGACTGTATAATATAAAACATTTAAAAAGAGGTGAATTAAAGTGATGGAAAGTATTTACTGAAGAATAATAAATTGTAAAAAGATTTTTGTTCAGTTCAGAACACAAAAGTTTTTGAAAGAAAAACAACACAAAATACATTTTTTCTTCATTCACATTATGGAAAAGATCTCTCTGGTCACAAAAATTTTGAAATATAAATATTTAGCGAATTTTCTTTAAACATTTTCTAACATGTTAATATAAATTTCATAATAAGGACCACAAATAACACAATAATATTCAAGCCTGGATCTTACAAGAGCATAAAATGACATATTAATACAGGAAACACTAGTAATTTTTTTTTATTTTTACATATCAAGCCTAAGGTTTATTTTAATATTAAAAGCCAGAATACAGGGTGTCCCAGCGAGTTGAAAAAGTCCATTAGTGACCTTTAAAAGCGTAAAATTAAAAATATATAGAACATTGATAGATACTAATCTAGTCCATCACTTAAAATTATTTTCAACTATACAGCGTGTCTCAAAAATAAGTTACAATACAAACTTGTGATTTTTTAAACGAAACACCGTATGTTTTTTGGCATTTTTAGATGTAGGTTTTTAAAACAATATTTTTACGCAAAATTTTTATTAGTCGATTTCGCTTAGTTTTAGAAATAAGGCGTTTTTTTGACGAAAACATGCACTTTTAAAAAATTTATTACACGAAAACTAAGACAGCTAGAACAAATTTTTTCATACTTCTACAAAAAAGAAAGTACAGAATTTAATGCCGTAGCAATTTTTTAGTGTTTTGCATTTGTAAAGATTAATAAATTAGGAAGTTTGTTAAAAGTTATATAACATCGGATTCAATTTAACACAAATGTAATTATTAAGTGATATTTCTTCCATATCTTGTGCAACTGTGCGCTTTTTGGCTACTAAAACAATGGTAATTATTTTTTTTAATGTTTAACATTAAATATCTTTTCAGTTATTAACTATAAACAATTTAATAATCTTTTAAATGCAAAAACAATAAATAGGGTGTTCTATTTAATTTTTTTAAGTTATTGAACTTTTAACAAACGCCTTAATTTTTTTATCTTTGCAAAAAAAAATGTTACAACCTTATAGCTTGTAGTAAAAAATATATTTCTAAATCTCTTAGTTTTTGTGTAATAGATTTTTAAAAAGTGCATATTTTTGTCAAAAAAAGTCTTATTTTTAAAACTAAGCAAAATCGACCAATAAAAGTTTAGCTTAAAAACATTGTCATGAAAATCTACATCTCATTTAAAAAAAACACAAGTTTGTATTGTAACTTATTTTTGAGACACGTTGTATAGTTGAAAATAATGGCCAATATGTATTGTTTTTACCATTTAAAGAGTTTTTTCAACTCGCTGGGACACTCTGTAAGTCTATAATTTCGAAAATACCGCCATTATCTTTAAAGTTTAGGTTGGTAGCGGAGCGATGGACGCCACCTCGTGACAGTAACAATAACTTAATCAGTCAAGACTGTATATAAAAGCTTGTGATGTTATTTCCAATTCAAATGAAATTTCGTTGAGAAAATGAATCGATAAGCATTACAATATCTAGCGTGACAGAATAAATTATCTATTGTTATTAACACTATTATTATCGCATTTATCAAAAGAGGCAATTTGGTGTGAATGGAAAATTTAAACTGTTTTACTATTAATCAGTGTTGGCTTTGGTCGCATTTATTTACACCTTTGCCGGCTATAAATTTTTTAAAATGGCAGCCTATCTATTTTCGTAGCCATTTTTGTCGACATTTTAATTGTGCCTTTATCGCCAGATTGTCACTTTAGGTATAATAATGGTTTATATCGAATCGACGTTTTTAAATATTGCCGCCATAAATTGGCGTGTTGTTTAAGCCACTTTCAGTTCCAATTCTGCCTAAATAAGTTACAAAGTCGCGTTAATATAATAACTCTCGAATCCAATCTGTGGATGCTATGAGTTATAGTAGCTGAACAAAATTCTGATCGAATCCGTTAATAAACTTTGCTCGACGTTTTGAATCAAAACAAGCAATGAAATATACAAAGTTGCGTAGGAGTTCTAGTCTTAACTTGATTAATGCCCCTATATTGACATTTAGTAACGTCACTGTTCCAATTCCAATTTCGAAGTGAAAAATGTCGAGGCGGTTTTATTTTCGACATGACATCGCATGTGTTGGTTTTTCTCGAGGGTATTAAGAAATTAAATTCGCTTTGTCACACCTGACACAACGACGATTTTTAGGACAAACAAAGAAAACACAACTTTTAGCTATTTTAGGAATCAGTGGCGTATCCGAAAATTTTGACTAGGAGAGAGGGACACTCAACTGGAGTATAAACTAAAAGTTTATACATACAGGGTTAACCAACTTTTTTTCTTTAATTATTTGCTTCCAGAATACAAATTAATAAAAATTATTATAAAAAAAATCTGATAATTCTTTGAGAATGTAATTTTGTTTTTTTTTTTGAGTTACATATGTGATTTTTTGGCAACTTATGTAAACATTTTTGATAAAAATTAGATATAAGGTAGATAGTTGTAATCCTTAGATCATAGCTGTCATAAAAAATCTCAAAACTTTCAATAATTTTGAGAAATTTGAAAATAGTACTTTATCATTCATCAATTAATTTTTCCAAAAAATATACAGGGTGAATATAAAGTATGGAACCAAGCGGTTTTTTTAATCATTTGCCTCCAAAAAAAAAACAATTACTATAAATTAAAGTAATATACAACAAAATTGTTTTGTTTTTGAGTTTTATGTATGTAATTTAAGTATGAATTTTTTTTTGAAAAAATTAAATATAAAGTAAAAGTTGTAATCCTTAAATCAAACCCTTCATGAGAAAAATGGTTTTATAGTGGGATGCCATTTAAATGAATTAATTTTTTTTTATAGAACTCAAAAATAAAAGAAATTTAGAAAAATTTTATCGTTGACAAAACCACATTTTTATAGTACTTTATCATTCATCAACTAGTTTTTTCAAAAAATAAATAGTTTAAGCAAAAAACGTTTGGTTCGATACTTTTTATTCACCTGGGTATACTTTAAACAAAAAGCGTTTACAACCGAAAAATATCTAGATCTAGATATTAATTCTTAATTTTTTACTGTAACATTACAAAAATTACAAATTGAACAACCAATCTCTATTGATGGATGCAGATTTTTACACTTCTAGAAACTCACCGTTCAAGAATTACACAAAATAAAAATCTAATTAATAAATTTGAGTTTTCTTTTTATAATTACATTTTACTTTTAATATTCGTAAAAATACTAAGAAAATCATGAATGTCACTTTACATTTTGTCTAATATATCCAGC